GGGGGTGAGATAAGCAAGCCCACCGGATATCTAAAAAATAGTTCCGTCACTTGCTGGGACGACTTATTTTATCAATTGCAAATTTGTTTGATTTAAACGACACAACAAAATGAAGCAATCTACAAGGTATCTACCACGTTGCAGCCAAATAATCAAACAAAAGAAAAATTATAGATCTATCTCCTTTGGGGCAAAACATGTTTGAAACACAAAAATCATACCCACTTTGCGGCAATACTTCTGAGGGAATCACTATCGATACTGCATAATTCTGAATTGATATGAATTAAAGATATATTGAATAACGATAGTATCTTTTAGGTATGCTTTGGTTGCTGGCCTTTCTTTACACTTACACTACAAGAATCCCGGTACTGAGATTGGCACTTTCGTGAAGCTAGTTTGTTAAAATTACCCTTTTGAACGTTTTAGAAGTTTTTGAAAGTTTTGCTTTTGACGTTATGTTAGAGGCTTCCTGTGACGAAAAACATCATGTTAAGCGCATATAGCATTGCATAAGTGGATATGCGCTATATAAATGCAATCCATTATTATTTATTATTAACATGGGATATATTGAAACTATTTACTGAGGAACTGTATGCACAGCAGTTCTATTTTTCCTCCAATTCTATAGGTGAGCGACAATGTTTAACTAAGAGAACAACAAATGGTGGTAAAGCCTTTTACAAATAATTGAATAGTCTGTTTTACACTTCTCACCCACCAGTGTTTGAGCTGCTGAACCGCTATCAGCATGAAATTACTCTGAGGAATTCATTTGAAATGAGAAGAAACAATCCACGAAGAAAAAAGACGTAAAAAAAAAAAGAACACAACAAAGAGAAAAAAACTTATTCAAAGACCGACAGGATGACATCTACAAAATTGGAAGTTGTTGTTTGTCAGCTGGTGGGCGTGGGGTTTCCGTGCGCGGGCGCGTGTGTGGTTTGGGGTAAAAAAGACGGGGGAGCCCACCGAATATCTCGAAAATAGTTCCGTCACTTGCTGTGGCGACTTATTTTATCAATCGCAAATTTCTTTGATTTAAACGACACAACAAAATGAAGCAATCTACAGTGTATCCACGTTGCGGCAAAATAATCAAACATTAGGAATGTCACGTAATGGCCAGCTTGCAACCCACTTGCAAATGTCGACAACACCTTTTATTATTCGCCTCAAACTTTTATCCTCGTCAAATTAAAACTTCAACATTTCTAAAGCGGCGAATGTATCAGAATATAGACATCATGATATTTGTATTCTAATTCACGTGACAGTCCCAAGCCTGAAACTAAGAGGGGAAATGCTGACACAATGTTAATATATACCTTATCGATACAGCTTAAATACGGTTATCGATGCTTTGTTGCCGCAAATGAGATAATCAATTATGCCAAAATTCGAATGAAAACGGCTTTGCCGCCAGTGAAATACGCTAAAATTGATCGAGATATT